TATTATTATTATTATTATTATTATTATTATTATTTGAATATTCCACCATTGGAAAAACCTGAAAGACTAGATTAAAGAAAGATCACCACGGAGAAAATCTCTGTGGTCACTAAGAGTCAACATCAACCTGATAACACATAATTAATTAATCAGGATTAAAATCTCTAAAGGTTATTCTCTCTCTTCCCCTTCCCTTATAATCTTACTAACATTCTGCAACATTCTTTATTGGGTTGGTTTTTATTGCCAATGTTTGTTCATGTAATATTTGCTAAAATACAAAATATATTAAAATAAAGGATAATTCTGCTCATAGATTTAAATTTCTCAAATAATGATCAGTTGGGAAAAGTCACTTTAAACGGTAAATAACAGCAAAACTGAAATAAAAGTAAAATTAATATTTCAAGGAATTTGAACTTTTTCTAGTTCAAATTTAAAATTTAGAACGTTCCGAGCTAATTCTGATTAACTAACTTATCTCATTTCTAAAAAAAAGCACTGGTGTTTTTTTTTTAAAAAAAATATTACATTTTAAAAAGCAAATATAATGTTAAAATCTGCATGAGATTAAACCCTATGCAAGTGTCAATGGTCATACAATTTACAGCACTTCTATGGGCTGCTGCAGCTGGAACAATATTACTGTGAGAAATCCCTTTTGATCCATCTACCAACCTTTGAAGTACCGATGTGCAAGAAAATTCTCTTGCAATTTTTTTTTATCTCAGTAGGCATTAATTTCCTAAAAGAGAATTTGATTTTGAAATTTCTTTCAAGACCCCTTTCTTTCTGGAGAAGTCAAATCTGGAGCAAGGGTCACACTTAGTGATAATGAAAGACAAAATATTCATACATAGATTTATCATGGATAAATCTAGGTATGAATATTTTGTCTTTCATTATATACTTTATATATACATAAAGAAACCCAATAAAGAAACCCCCTTATCCAAAAGCAAGGAGTCCACAACTCCTAAATGAATGTAACTTGTCTTGCCTAAATATGTAGATGGAAAAGTTAACACACACACACACACACACATAGAGATTATAATATATATACACATATGGATGCAGGGGAGAACAGATTGCAGCTGATATTGTTGCGCTTATTCTGATTACTAATTAGCTATTTCTAATAAACTATTTAGCTGGCAGTATTATAGATAGCTATGGGGGAGGGGGTCTTAGACAAATGCGGTCTAGTGGTTACAGCACCAGGCTAGAACCAGGTGACACTGAGTTCTAGTCCCACCTTAGGCATGAAAACTGGCCAGGTGACTTTGGGCCAGTCACTCCCTCTCAGCCCAACTCACCTCAAAGCGTTGTTGTTGTTGTGGGGGAAATTGGAAGGAAGAGGAGTGAACATTAGGTATATGTGCAGGCTTGAGTTATTCGTAAAAAAATAATAAAGGTGAGGTAAAAATAAATAAATAATAAATGTTACTGCAAGGATGATTAGGGGAGAGAACAGGAGACAAAAACTCCATGTAATGGAAGTTGCATGATGAGAATGCAAAAAATTCACAATTTTTTAGGCCAAGCTACATGTTTACATTAAATGTGCAACTAATAAGCCCCCAAATAATAGGGGGTAGTTTTCTCTTGTAATCTGCATTAGAATTGTGCTGGATTTAGAATATCAGAGTGGTGAATTTCCTTAATATCACATAGGATTCCTGTACATTCCCAGTTTTTCAGTCAACCGCTACCTCCCCTTGAGTCATTGTCACTTAACAATTGTGCAGCCAGCCCTGCTACCAGCTTTCTAAGCTAAAAAAAGACAAGTCACGCAAACGAAGGAGGAACAGAAGAAAATCATTTCTTCAGACCTAGGAGGGAAGGGTAAATCATAAAGTAGCACTTTGCAACAAACCCTCATAGGGCAGATTTTCCTTTGCTTGTGTGAGTGTTTGGCAACTGGGATTCTTGCCATTGTTTTGTAACAGCGTTTCTCAGCTGAAGATGGGTGGGCTACAATTCTCAGAGTACCCCAATCATAATGGGCAATTGCTGGCGGGGGAATTATGGGAATTGAAGTCAACACATCTTTATGTGGCCAAAGTTGAGAGATACTGTTTTATAGGATGGGAAGGGACAAAGCCTGCATCTGCTCTTTTTCCGGCCTAGCTTAGATAGAGCAGGTGGCCTGCCCGGCTCTGAGGTTCTTCCTAGAAGGTAGGATTTCACCTTGGCCCTGGGTCTTAACTGTTTCCCTACTTTAAAACAGTTGAACATTTTGAGATGGGGAGGAGCTGCTACTAATGTGGGTAGACAAAGGAAAGATGAGCAGCTTCCCTCAGGTGTAATCAGGCTCTATAACCCTAGGACAGGGGTAGGCAACCTTGGCTCTTTTATGACTCGTGGACTTCAACTCCCAGAATTCCTGAGCCAGCTTGGCTGGCTCAGGAATTCTGGGAGTTGAAGTCCACGAGTCATAAAAGAGCCAAGGTTGCCTACCCCTGCCCTAGGCGAATCTATAGGAAATTAATAAGTTGAACCTATTTTTATCCCAGATTTCCAGAACTGAAACAGAAAAATAAATTTGTTCATGTTTTATGGAAGATGTAGTTTTAAGATCAGACTAAGCTCAGAAATTTTGGGACTAGTTCTTAGCCTGCAGATGCCCACCCACTGTAAAAGGCTAGTATACAAGCCCGTTATGCTATTTAGAATGTATAGAGAAACGTCCTTTGTCGTTCCCTTAGAATAAATATGAGTAATACGACAGGAACAGCCAAGCAATGAAGAGACTTTGGCACTGTTTTAGCCCCAAAGCTTCTACCAACTTTTTCCTGCCCTTCGTGCAATACATTCAACACTGATTTTACTTTAAGTCCATTCAGTTCACTACAGACAAATCTAAAATCCCAACTTCACATGATAAATGGCACTTTTTATGTAGGTAGTTTCAAAGCTGCTTTATCCCTAAGTCTTAAATAATAATTCATGCTCTAAAAGATGCTATTTTTTAAAAAAAAAAATCCATTATTTAAAATCAAAAGTAGTTTCACTGACATGTATTTTAATGTTATTACTTATTATTTATTTACTTTATTTGTATCACATTCTGTCCCCAAAATGTTCCAGGTGGCTATCAATCTCATCATAAAATAATTCATCAATAAAAGAGGCAAAAAAGGAAAAAAAAGAAATGCATTAAAATAGTCAGAATAATAAATAAACAAAATCCTTTGGATTCAAATCAACCCTCTGTTGAATTATTTGTGGACCGGATCTATTAATAACTAAAATAAAAACTGCTTACTGCATTTATTTGTTTTCTGCATTGATGGAACAGCCCATAATAATAAATGGCAGACATACACTCAACCATACACCTGTACTTTTTTTTAAACTTAGGACTACAGCATCTTTGGATTTAAACCTTTGAATTTCAAATAGATAACTAGGAAATGTTAACAATGGAATAACTGAACAGATAAGGGCCTGATGCTCCTAAGCAAAAGTTGTCTAAGCATACTATTGTGTTGTTCAATTTCAACTAATTCCTTAATTAACCCTTTGCAAGATCAAGGCTTGAGAGCGTAAGATTTTGTAGACATTATCTACAAACAGGAAACGCTGCCCAGTTTTCCCTTTCTGAGAAAAGTATTTGGACAATCTACACAATATACAGTAGCTCCTTTTACGAATGGATTTATTTTTAAATGAAAAAAAGAAGAAATAAACAGAGACATGTCCCCCCCCCCAAAAAAAGGTCATAATACTGAAAATATGTGTCCTTCGTCGCTCATCATTAAGCCTTCAAACTGCCTGCTGCAAGTAAGCAATGCTCCTCCAATTACAGATAATTTGCTAATATTCCTAGTTGCAAAATACTGGTTTCTTTCTCCACCCATTTCCAGCCACAGCCAGCATCCTTTGCTCACATATCCCCCTAATGCAATCAAAGTCAAATTTATTCTTTTCAGTCCAAGCAAACGTCCTCCTGAAGTCAGAGTCGATAATAATGAGTAGACGTTGCTGTCTAAAGCTGCCATTAACATAATAATATCTCGCGGCATACTCACGTCGGCTTTCATACATGCTCCTGGACTGGGCCCAGATTTTGAATGGATCTGGCTTCTTCTGCCCTGCGTTGTCTGGTTGGTCTATCGCTGGTGTTTCAGGAACAGGGTATTCGGGAAGCACCTGAGTGCTGTGAATTGGTGAAGCCGTGTGGGTGCTGTGGTGGCTGGAGACGCTGTGCTGGGAGCTGTTTTGGCTGTCTTTCCGTTCAAGTGGTTGCTGTCCAGGAAGAGAGCCAGGAAAAAAAAGGAAGAGTGGGATGGGATGGGGAATCCCAAGAAGGTTAATGATCTGCAAGCAAGCAATTTCCTTTAGCTTTTTTTTTTTTTTTTTTAGCTTCAGCACTTCTGCAAGTTCCCAAATAAATATAAAAGGGTACTTTGGGGCTCTGGCGATTTCCATTTTTTTGCTGAGCGCAGGAAAATTCACCCAATGATAGACAGACAGAATGACAGAGGAAGGAAAAGTCATCCATCACAAACAACACCAGCATCTCTCCGATATTGCATAGACACATCCCAAATCAAGGATTCTGTATGGATTAGATAATCAAAAGAGTCGACTTCTGCTAAGGACAGCATTTCAAATCCAGGAATAGGAACAAGGAATGGATTATATTTATAGTTCAATTATTTTCTCTTTGGTACATACAATAACTCAGTAGCTCTCTCTCTCCCCTAAACACTATACACAGCACAAACAGACACACAAAGTTTCTCTTGCCATCATAACAAAGTTAAGACTTGTACTCAAACATAGCATTTTTCTCAGATAAGGAAAATGGCTAACAGGAATTAAATTTGAAGGGTGTGATATTTCTTGTTTTAGATTCTTAATCTGCTTTTCGTCAGGAAAACTGTCTACCTTACTTTAATAGATCCCTGAACAGAATCAACACATATGGGAGATGGAATCAAGGACAACACACCTGTGTTTCCCCTTGACAGGTTAGATACTAAAATCAAAGTTGTTCTGAATTCTTACGTTGGTACAAAAGCAGAATTCTTTGCCAACTGAATTCCATTAATCTCTAATATGAAATTTAAATTGTCATATCCTAAATTCTCTTTCAATTCTGATATCTTACAATAGTTCATTAAACATGGGACAAAAAAAATCCAGTGTGGGAACAATCAGCTATCTATAATTTATTACAATGTTTAGGTTCAGTGAAATGAAATTTACAGAAGAGATTCTCATTCTATATAAATGATAATGCCAAAACAATATGAGCATAAATGAAATCAACTTCAGGGGAACAAAGCAGTGTGTGCAGCTACGCAGATTCTATTTATCTCCCATACATCAGCAATCATGACAGTACAAAATCAATATACATTACAATAACTCCGACCTGGAATAATGTTCTGTTTCCACTGTATGTAAGAATATTCAGATGCATCACAAATGTGAAACAATTCTCAAAATAATGCTTTAAACTAAATCACACCTAATTTTCAAAGTCTGAAAAGCATCACCCTCTTATCTGAAGTATCTGTGATAGCTAGAATATTTGGACTACTGTATTTTCTACATTACGTTTTAAGTTATTTGTGGGAGAGTAAGCATGTTGTTGAATGAGATCACTTGCTTTATGTCCAATACATTTGAACAACACAAATAACATTGAAAGAAATGGACAATGGTTTTCAAAGAAGCTTGTCTGCTCATGCTAATCTTTTCACTGAAAGTACTCAAAGAGAAATCCAAAGGCATCTAGAAATGCTGAATTAATCTATCAGTGCCAATTATTTTCATACACTTCAAAGCACAATTTTATAACATCATCACTAACATGAAATATAAAAAAAACCAGACAGAACAACTAAATTGTAGCTATTACATCTTAGTACAAATATATTTTTAAAAGCAAGGGCTTGGCCAAAACACATTGAAACAACATGTCAGAGACTATGCTGAAAAACATCCCGTTTAGGATGCTTCTTTGATGGAAAAACTGCAATGCTATCTTCATTAGTTCCATCTATCTCAACTTCAGCTTTCTGATACTTTTTCTTCCTACCATTCCTTTCCCCAAAAATCTGACTTATGACACTGTGTTATAGACAAACCTGATTGGCTGCTAGCTTTTCTAAACTGATTGACAGACAGAAAATACTGCTAGAGTTCCAAACGGTTACATCTCTAAGGTAGAATTTCTACCGCAGTGGGTGTCCTTGCTGATTAGGATCATGTTTCCAACTGAGGAAGAAGACTATAATACAATTATGAAAAATTATGCCAGCAAGAACCTGCCAAAAGGAATAGGGAATATGAGCAAGCAGGAGGAAATATAATTATGGCGTTGGATATCACAATCTGGAGCTATCTAAGCTCATTACATTATCAAAAATATTCAGCTTTCCAAAAAGCTTTGTCTGAGATATATAGCACATTTAAAAGAAAAGTTTTAGAAGTGCTTTTCGGTAGCATTTTATAAATATTTATTGGTTATTGTAATAGCATTTTTATATCACTGACTCCCCTGACAATTGCTTAAAAAAAGACATCATCCCAACAATCTGCCATAAAAAGGTGACATCCATCACTACAGGTAGTTCTCGACTTATGTCCACAATAGGAACCATTATTTCTGTTGCTAAGCAAGGCCATTGTTAAGTGAGTCACAACCAATTTTTCAATCTTTTTTTTAACATGCTTGTTAAATGATTTACTGCAGTTAAGTAAATCATGCAGTCGCTAAGTAAATCCAGCTTCCCTCCATTGATTTTCACTTGTCAGAAGCTGGCTGGGAAGGCTGTAAATGGTGATCACATGACCCTGGGATGCTGCAACCATCATAAATATATGCCAGTTGCCAAGTGTCCAACTTCTGAGCACATGAGAGTGGGGAGAGCTGCACCAGTGGGAAGTCTGGTCATAAGTCATTTTTTTCAGTGCCATTGTAACTTTGGAACTGTCAGTAAACAAATGGTTATAAGTTAAGGACTGCCTGTACTCAGCATTCATCTATTTGTTTTGTTTTTTTAAAAAAGCTCCCTGATTTCAAGGGTTCTGGGTCGTCCATAATACACCAGACAACATAAAAATAATGTAATAGGAAACAACAACCACCAAACTAGAACCAAAGGGAGGAAGAGAGCAAGATGGCAAATGCAGCAGACATCCCAAAACATGCCACTGAAAAGGTGTGTAGAAGAGCTGAGTGTTCAAGATGGTTAAGAAAGCTCCATTTAGCTCCTCAGCAATACATTTTTCTAGGCTGGCTCAAGAATTCTGGGAGTTGAAGTTCACAAGTCATAAAAGGGCCAAGTTTGAAGACCCCTGTTCTAGGGAGTGGGGCCTAATGTAAGTTGCAGGGTCCTCACTCCCTCTCCTTTAGAACTCCCTTACAACAATTTGGAATGAACACACTGGATTGAGTCAGATCTATCTGAAGCAAACAGTCCTGCAGATCCCTATGGCCTTATATGTTAAATCACACACTTGGAATTGTACTGGAAGCAAACATAGCACTTTCAAAACCAGTGTTAGGTAGCACTGGTGCCTCTCATCCATAAGTAGGTAGGCTGCTGCATTCTGTCCAATTGCTCCTTCTGGGTTGTCTTCAAACGAACGCAGCCCCATGTAGAGTACTGCAGTATAAAATTTGAGAGATGATGAGGGCATGCATGGTAATCATTGCCAGGTCATCCTGCTCCATGCATCCTGTTCCAAACTCTCCTTCCCATGGATTCCTCACAGCTCTCTATTAGTAGCTGTGAGTTCTGAAAGTGGCCATATCCATTAAGTAGGGAGCAGAACTATGGGGAAAAAGTCCCTTTTTCTCCCAACTCTATAGATGATATGTAAGCACACCACCAATGGTTAGTAATGTGAAAGGCCATTCAAGAGGTCCAATATAGGTAGTAGCCATGCACTTCCCTCTACCAGGCTAAACACAGACCATCCATCAGAGCAACCAATGTGGTCCAGACCATCTGTGGTTTCTAGAACACTTTGGAGTTGGAACGTTGCCCTGAAAAGGAGAGACTGAAGCAGGCAGCACATAGCAAGATTTGCCACATGAATTAAGATGGCATATAATGCCTCCTTCAAGGTAGAACAAATAGTCCCTTGATGAGTTGACATAAGATCCAGCCTTCTGCCCCACCTCCAATACCTCTGGGAGGGTACCTGAGGCAGAGCATGAATCAATCCTACAAGTGGCAGAACTCAAACCACAGATCATCCTGTCCATTCTCTCAGAGTTCACAAACCTAAATGAATCCTGGGTTAAACTGCTAGATTCTGCCCAAATCATTGTTGATTCTCTCTGTGTGCAGTGGGCAGAACAAATAGGAGTGAATTTATGTGTGGAAATATTTGCCACATCTCATTATAACCTTCACTAACAGCTTCCTGTTTTCTACACACCAAGAGGGCATAGGTCACCCAAGTTTTAGGGTGCAGGGACACCACCTGCAGTGAGAATGGAAAAGAAAGATCACTACCATTTGTGTCACTATGATGGCTTTTCAATCATGCCCTTATCCATATATGACCATGTCAACTCTACAACGAACCTGGCTGCAGCCATCTTGCTCATTCTAGGTTGTCACCTGAATGGGAGGGGGTGTGGAGTATCTTTGCTAGTCTAAACAATTCTGTGTCCCGTGGGAATCAAGGTCATTCTTTTGGTTATGTAGGGTTGGGGAACGTGGATGATGCATAGCATTGGGGTGGGAAGTTTAACTTTGTAATAGTGTAACTCTTTGGAGGGAATTTCAGACTTGTTTTCATTTTTGATCATGCTGATAGTTTGTATCCAAGAAACATGTTCTCTGAGGAAGCTTCCAGCTTCAGAGATCTCATTTATTTGACTCTATCTATCGGAACCTTGACATTAAACCAAGTCTGAAATTGCCTCCAAAGAGTTACACTGTTACAAAGTCAAACTTTAAAGTAGTAAAAAGTTCTTATAACCAAGTGGAAAATAGTAAATTTAATTCCCAGGTTATTTCATGTTGAACTCTTACACTAATTATGTTACAAGACCTGCAATATAACAATATCTAATAATAACTGCTATGGAATGATAGCAACCCAGGCTTTGCAGTGATGAGTAAATTCTAAGAAACACAGATGAGCACAGAAAATAAAGCAACTCTTAATATTGTTTGTATGATTGAAAGTGCTATTTTGTTTTTGTTTTAAATTAATACAGGTGTGTTTCTTGAGGAGGTGTGGCAATTCCAAAAGCAAAAATTGCTTTGCGG